CCCCATTGATCTTGATTCCATCGATGAGCTCGTGGAATCGCCGGAGATGTGATCGAGGGCACTCTCCCTCCTTACCACGGAACACTACTGAACCGCGCAACATGGTGATCACGGAGGTGCTCACCTCAAAGTTGTTGGCTGGGACCTGAGGGTGCTGAATGGGGGACCTCATGTTCGCAGCCCTAGCGGTCCAGTAGGATCCCATGGTCTGCTCCCCGGGGATCACATTGTTGTTTTGCGGATCACCCATCTCTCCTTCTTCTTCTTCTCCGATCTGTAGCTGTGACAGCGCCTTCTCCGCAGCCAGTCGCGCCTTTAGAACCCGCTTGGAGTTCCTGCAGGTTCGTTCAAGCTCCTGGTCAAGTGGTAATAGATCTCCCGACTGGCTACGGGTCATGCACTACCTGCACACAATCAGCAGAAGCAACCCGTGAAGGCACACAGGTGGAAGAAATAAAATGCAGTAAATAAAAGCTAGAGTAACAAATTCTCACGTTTCCCCAATAATCTAGAGGGGTCCCCGGCAACGGCGCCAAAAACTTGACACGCTAAAACACAACACCTAACAATGGCCAAGTGTAACCAATGAAAGGGACTGCAGTATAGGCAAGTTTAATTATCAACCCGGGGTCTAGATCTACTGCTTACTCTGTGATTCTCTATTATCTAGCAAACTAGTTCGAGTGATTGTTGTGAAAAGTAAAAGCAACAAGAAAGCAGTAAATTGTTCGGGTTTCTAAAGCAGGCAAGAGTCACTCGGGATTGAGTCCCCCTAGCCCCTTAGTTAGGTTCAATTGTAATTCCCAGGGTTGATTTACTGTTGATTAGACTGCGGAAGATCCGACAGTAGCTTGGAATCTCTTAAGCTGACCAAGCCCTCTCAGTCTAACTACCCGGCAGACGACTAGTCTTCACCGGGATAGAAAGCTGAGGCTATGAACACAGAACTCCACTACTGGCGCCAAGAACACCAGTACAAAGCAGTAAACTGGCTAACTCTCGTATAGCCAACCTCCTACTATCGAATGAAGAGGCTCTAACAACCTAATCAGATTCTATCTATCTCAGGTTGAAGCAGAAATTGAGACAAGCTGATCAGACTCAAATCAATTCATAAAACATGCGTCATTCGATTAAAATCAAGCAGTAATATCATCCCAAGTCATTACAATCAAATCCCTAACACAAGGAACTAGGGTTCTTCATACCCAAGTGAGAGAAGGGTTCTACTCCATAGAGAGAGAAGAGAAAACAAGAATCGGATTAGTCATACTCATAACGATGAGGATAATCTGCTCCGTGACGATGATTTCCACTCCTATGACGATCTCCAAGCTCGATTCGATGAAATCCAGCTCTTAGACAGCTTCTAGGATGAGTTCTTCGCACTTTCTCTCTCTAGGGCTCTGTTTTTGCTCTGAAAACACGATTCTCTCTCTTCTGGCTCGGAATAGGCCTTAAAACCGGGTTTCCCGACTTGCACGGCCAGGTGCACGGCCGTGCACATCACCATTCTGGCCGTGCACTCCAAAAACGCGCCGTATCATTAAGTCTGCCTCAGGCCTGGGTGCACGGCCGTGCGTGGCCATGCACAATCCCGTGCGTGCCCACGCACAATCCCGCACGGCCAGGATTATATGTTGCACGGCCGTGCGGATTTCTGCTCTGCCCGTGCGTGCCCACGCACAATCCCGCACGGCCAAACTGGTCACTTGCACGGCCGTGCGTGGCCACGCACAATCCCGTGCGTGCCCACGCGACTTCCTCTGAACCTCGCCATGCGTCCGATCCTTGTCCAATCGACGTCAAACTCGCTCTCAAGCCTCCATTCACGTACTAGGACCTGAAATATCATAAACAAGCACAACCTGCGTGAAATCGGCCTAAAACACGAGAATCAATACCTCAAACGGAGTAAGAACAGGGGTGAAAACATGTGTAAATAACGGTCTATCAGCATCCGCCAAAGCTCTCAGTCCTGCAAAGGAAAAGCATAAGTAAACTCATATGAGCATATGGAAAAAATACAACAAAGGACGTACGCTACTAACCATAAAAAGCACGACCATGCTCGTAAGCACTCCCTGAACCGCTGGGAAACACACGCAAATGAAAGCCTTCGACAAGGCGATCCAGGTGATCCTTTACTGATGTAGTAAACCGAGCTGATGAACACCACGACTCCTTTGACCCGACCGCATATCCAGTCGGTGGAACGGTCTCTCCAGAGTACCACTGCCCTGTGGGTCGGGCAAAGAAGTACTCCCGATACCAAGGGGAGTCTAGCTTAGGCGACCCAGACACCAAGCCAACAGTGCGGTCCCGCCTCCCTATTGACCAACAGTTAGCCGTATCACGAACCTTATACAGTAGCCGGAACGCATCAAAGGAGGGCGTCTCCTTCAAGCGGTTGCACGCGTACCGATACATGACGGAATGAAAGATGATTGAAGGAGAGAGGCGGCTAACGGTGCATCCTAACCAGTTTAGGGTTTGAGTCAATATCGGTTCCAGAGGGAACCGCAACCCCAGTTTCACATGCTCCACGAAGATAGGAATCCAGCCTTCGGGACACGACCCCGACCGGCACTCTTTGGTGGGAGCAGCATAATCCCACTCTGAAGGAAGTCCCAGCGCATTCAGACGATGAAGGACTTGAGCGGGTCTCAAGGCCGCCACGTGTTTCGGATCGCACTCCAGCACCCCGTCAGGAATAGGTCGGCTTTCCCACATGTATTCATGGCGCAGAATCGTGTACGTGGCGTCCTCAATCGCCAACCGTGATACCTCCTCTCCTTCGGAATCTACCACCTCCAACGACGAGGAGGTACTGGCAACCGCCTCTGATCGCAGTCCATCACTACTAACCGTCTCCTCTCCACCCGAGGAATCACTATCTAATTCTATCGCCCCAAACTCCCCTAAGTTATCCCCAACCGCAGAAGAAGTTGCGACAACCCCAGCTGGTATAGGTCGCGTGTTAGCAAAAAAGTTATCTAATCCCAAGGATCCCCCAAAAATACAATCGTCTAATTCCGAACCGCTCCCGAAGTACAAGTCCAGACCAGACAGGTCAAACACGCACTCGGAAACGCTTCGATCGGGAGGAGAACAAATCGTACCTTGCGTAGGAGGAACCGCAATCCCAAAATTGGCCGCTGCTTTCTTGCCCGGAGCAACGGGAGAAGAGCCCGTGGTAGGGCGAAGGAGTTCTCCCTCAGGTACAGATGAAGCGGGGGGCACAGTCCCCGACATGGCGGCGGAGGACAGATGAACCGCCGCGATAGGCTCCCCATCGTGAGCGTCGACGGCGGGTACCCCTCGGCTCGCCTCCTCGACCAGCGAATCTTGACCTTCAACCGACATCTGCAACAACACGAACAATCCAAACGAGACTCGACGCACGGAAGAGAGCGGCGTCCCGATAATGGGCAAGGAGCAGAAAGAATAGAAGAAAGGTCACCGCGACCAAACCATGCACAAAAACTTACCGGAGAAAGAGAGTCGACTTTATAGTGGAGTTCGCCGGGAAGCAGTGCTCGGAATTACGTCACAAAGGAGGAGGAAAGAAGAAGACAAGATTTTCTTGCAAATAGAACGACAATGGCAGCCAAAAGGGGTCTCCGCGACACTTATAGTAAGGTCCGAAGCCCAAGGTGTCAGAAGTTACGTTCGGATTGCCTCTGACAACGCACCGCGCCCGAGGCGCGACACGTGGCAACGCCAGCGCAAGGGGCAAAGCGACGTGCGTCTCAACCGCCCCAATAGTCGTACCCGCTCCAGCTTATCGCGACAAGGGGCAAACGAGTAACCATAACCATGGGCCGCAAGTTACAGAACCGCATCAGATGTTGAAAGGGTAGCCGCGACAACCCAAAGCTTCTCACGACTAAGGGGAAAATGTTGGGCCTAGTATTGGCATACGTGGGCCTGAAGCCCATGGTTATGAAAGCCCACAAAGACTGGCCAAGACTAGGTCAGGTTGACCATATCCAACATGGAGACCGCCCGACATATACGTCATCCATACGTCGGGAAACCGCCCGACAAATGGGCTAAAATCATGCTGTCAGACGAAGCCTGACATTCGTACTGACAAAGCAGGTAATAAAGTTAAAGGCGTCCTAGACCGCCTGACACAGCATTAAATGTCTTGGTTCTAAGGCCAGGCTAGTATAAATAGCCCCAAAGGGGCAGCATTTATGGTAACTCCGATCAACCTAATTCTCTCTCTATATACATTTATCCATTCCCTTCTCTCTCTAACTTAAGCTTCGGAGGAGGTCCCAGGCAACCCCTGAGGACCTTTCGTGTAGGACTCGGAGGACCGCCTCTCTCCTATCAAGCCGCCAGAGGTCGTGGAGTCTCACATAACCGCCTGGAACATCCCAGGCACAAACAGTTACGTTACTTCGATAATAGTAGGTATCACCGTGCTCGTATCAAGTTGGATTTGTTTTTATGAGGTGACGAATTTTAATGATGTGGTATGTCAGATTTTCTCTTTTTGGGTTAAAATAGGCTGACAGTAACGGAAACTAACGGAGAGTGACCAAACTTGAACTGTTAAACTAATTTTGGTGATCATGAATGAAATAAATTAATTTTAGTGGCAAACGTAATTTTTTTTTAATAATTCTAGTAACCAAACTTGCAATTTACCCTACGGATTGATACCTCATTGTTCTAGGACTTGCATTGACTGTAGCTCTTAGCTCCTAGATTTTACTTACCTGTATTTAGGGGTGGCAGTCGGTCGGTTTCAGTTTAACCGAAAACCGAATTATCGGTTTTCGGTTAAACCGAACCTTCCTCCCTGTCTACCGACCACCGACCGTGCCATAGGTAGCGGTTAACCGACCACCGACCGACCGGTTTTCGGTTCTGGTTCGGTTATACCGTAACAACCGAATGATTAAAAAAAAAAGGACAGAAAGAAAAAAAACCCAAAAGCCACCCCACCCACCCACGTTACTTCCTCTCTCCTCTCCCTACCAAACCAAAACTCTTCTTCTTCTCTCCTCTCCCTAACCACTAAATTCTTATCTTCTTCCTCCTCTCTCTCCTGCCTTCCTCCAAAAAAAACCCACCAGAGGCCAGAGAGACCATCCCTTTTCTTCCTTCTCTCTCCACAAAATCCTTATCTTCTTCCTCCTCTCTCTCCTGCCTTCTCTCCATTTCAAACCCACAACAACTGCTCCTCTTGTCCCCCCCCCCCAAATCCCCTCCATGGCCGACGATAGGATCTCCTCGCCGTCGTCACTGCTCCACCGCTTCTTCCTCGGCGTCGTCACTGCAATACAACCACCACCACCAGCAGCAGCGCTTCTTCATCCTTCCAGCTCGATTTCCACTCTTAGTCGCCGTCGTCTTCCTTCACCCCTTACGGTCTCGAGCAAGTCTCCCGATTCTTCAGTTCATCACCATCATCAGTAACAGCAGCAGCCAGCCCCGTGAATTTGACGAGAAGGGATATAATTGGAGACAAGCTGCATGAGCTTTACAATCCCTTTTTCCCCAGATCTCATCATTCTCTGTCTCTCCCTCCTCGGCTGGGATTTTTTTTTTTTTTTGAGGAACAGAGGGCTGGGATTTGAGTACGAAGAAGAAAGAATTAGGGTTGGGGTTTTATTAAAAGGATGGCTGGTCGGTTATGTTCGGTTAGTCGGGTAACCGCGGTTAATCAGTCTCGGTTACTCGGCTAGCCGAAAACCAGCTTTATTCCATCGAACACCGACCGAGGCAAATAACCGTCGGTTTTCGGTTAGCTACTAACCGGCGGTTATCGGTTGAACCGGCCGGTTAGCCGCTAACCGGAAACCGAACTGCCACCCCTACATGTATTGATAGTTTTATAGGTTCTATACATGTTTCTCTTGTTGTTTTGAGTAGCTTTTTACTCGTTTGACTCGGTGGGCAGGGGTGTTGTCACATAGTGATTGGTATCAAAGTTTAGTATCTATACTTTTTTTTTATATTTCCCACTTTGGTACTTAAAATTTATTTTTATACTAAAATATCATTGTAAAATTATATTTTGGTCCCTAAAATTTTTATTATGACATTTTACTACCTAAAATTTTCGAAATTTACATTCCAAGACTTGAATGTCATTTGGATTTGGATTCATGGATCAATCCACCAATCCATTGGATCCAATCCACTTGATCCATGGATCCACCAATCTATGAATAAAACTCTTCTTTTGTGTGAGTTTTACATCACTATGGTTTGTTTTTATATTGAAAAAGATTTTTCAGCAGCGGGGTTTAATAAATTTGTGGAGTACCAGAATCAACAACATTTTCAAGGCCTAGCACCTGATACTGGGGGGAGACGACAAAGTCTCCAGCACTCGCGGTGCCTCCGGGAACACCAAGTGGTATAGCGAGATTCGAACCTGAGACCTCACACATCTCAGGCCCGAAAGACCACACTCCCCGACCAACTCGACTGTGTTGCCTTCGACATTTTCAAGACTTAATATACAGATAAAGAGAGAAGCTGAAGTTTATTATGCAAAAAAAAAAAAAAAAGAGAGAGATGAAGTGAATGAAGAATACTTCTAACAGTAGTAATGTGCACTCTCCCTTTGCTTTTATTGAATATTGAAAATTACAGGTAAATACACAAACATCTTACAATCAAATAACAAACCATACGCAACATAAATCGTGTAGGAAACTAGGAATAATATTGGATCTACTTGATTGGCTTCACATGATTTAGCCATCGGATCCTAAATGGTCTCTCAACAATAATAAAGGAAACAATTGAAGGAAAACATTCACAAATACGAACAGGTAGCATAGATAGCATAAAGATAAAGGAGAGAACGGACACACATGTGACATCTGTATCAAAAACGGATGGCACAAAGGACGAGCCGTAGCCCGTAAGGCGGTAGTTACTACCTCCGGTTGAAATTAACAACACCATCCGTTTCAATTTTGCCGCCGCTTCAAGCCTTTTTAGCCTTGCCGATTAAGCCCAGGGAGGACAATGCCAACATCGTCACCACCGGTCGAACAAGCAGCTCCGGTCTTGCCGAATACGTCCCATGGAATCAGGCTGCCGTCACCTCCAGTCGAACCAATAGCTCCAGCGTTGCCGACGTGGATGATATGATATGTGGTCGAACAAGTAGCCCCGGCCTTGCCGAATACGTCCCATGGAATCAGGCTGCCGTCACCTTCGGTCGAACAAGTAGCTCCAGCCTTGCTGACATGGATGATGTGATCTGTGGTCGAACGAGTTGCCCCAGCCTTGCCAAAGACGTCCCATGGAATCAGGCTGCCATCACCTCCGGTCGAACCAGCAGCTCCAGCCTTGCCGATGATGTGATCTGTGGTCGAACGAGTAGCTCCGGCCTTGCCGAATACGTCCCATGGAATCAGGCTGCCGTCACCTTCGGTCGAACCAGCAGCTCTAGCGTTGCCGACGTGAATGATGTGATCTGTGGTCGAACGAGTAGCTCCGGTGGCCTTACCGAATACGTCCCATGGAATCAGGCTGCCGTCACCTTTGGTCGAACCAACAGCTCCAGCCTTGCCGACATGAATGATGTGATTTGTGGTCGGACAAGTAGCTTTGGCCTTGCTGAATACGTCCCATGGAATCAGACTGCCGTCACCTCCGGTCGAACCCGCAGCTCCAGCCTTGTCGAAGGTTCGTCCTCCGAAGTGGATGCTGCGATCTGTGGTCGAACCGGTTATTGCTCCAGCCTTCTTGATCATCATCGCCATGGTTTGAGACGACGGTACGAATCTAGCTGCGGCGGATGGAGGAGATGAGTGCAGTAAGGCGCCAGCTGCAGTAGCACCGTTGGTGCTCATTGCAGCACTACAGATCGTCAAAGTGGAGGCAGCCATATACCTTAATAATTAGAACTCACCACTCACTTGAATATGGCCAATCGTTAAATTGACGAGTGTGGTTTGCTTCCAACCTAGCTAAAGGCAGTTTTTATACGCATAACTCCAAGCAATTCAAAGCTCCCAAGTCCCAACCATCAACGACTACCCACCAACATCACTTATTTGCACCTCTCACGCTCAATGTTCAGGACGACCCACCTAGCTAGTCACTGACTAGATATAATTCAGTAGGGTTTCCCTCCACAGACACAATTTCCATTTTCCAAAGTTGAATGTATTACATAAAATAAAAATAAAAAAAACTGCCTCCATCATTCAGAAAATATGTTGGAGGAACTTCAGCATCTTATTTGTCGAGATGAATCGATAATAAAGGTGACGGTTTTGTATCCAATTCATCAGCTTAAAAATATTTAATTATACAATTCAATTAATTCAAATTCAACTGGAGTGATTCATTAATTTTTGGCAAATTACATTTAGTATATGTACATTTTTATATCTAAAATTTATATCATGATATTTTAGCACCTAAAATCATTGATCGAGTTCACAAATCTATACGTGTTAGGATTTTGAATGGTGTAAATGATAATGAAAAGCGAAAGCGCTAAAATAAACTCTTGCAGTACAAAGTGTTAAGATATGGGAAGGTGTGTCCTCGAACTCGGTCAATTTGTAAATATGTTGGTAATCGGTTAGAATGGTTTGTATAACCAACCCGAATCAAATCGAGTGGAACCTGAAGTAATGTGACCAACCAGTCCAACTACCATTGGACGAATCAATGCAAAGTTGAGAAATTTTAAACGACCCATTGCAATGGTTGGGGTGTAACCACCCACCCGAAGAGCCCCTCCCTTCGTACGCACCCTTTCATTTTCTATAAATAACACCAAACCCCTCTCATTTTATTGACGGAAAAAGAAAACAATTTTCTGACCGAAACTGTGCCAAGATCAAAACTGATTTTTATGCATTCTTTCCAAACGAAAAAAATTCGAGTCAAGTGTGATTCTCGCCAATTCACTGCGTTCTTTGTTTTCCAAGGTTTGAGGTTCCGCTACGCCGTAAAAGGTAAATGTTTGACTATTATTTTTGGTTTTTGAAAGGTTTGGCTATTATTTTGTTTAAAATCAAAGATTTGGCTAATATATTGTATTTATCCTTAATTTTTTATATTTTCTATGATGATTAGGAGGTGACGTGGTGGTCAATTAAGTTGTCACATCACGAACATTTCTATCTAAGAAATTAACTTGTCACGTTAGAGTCAACTAACGGTCAACCAGATGGAAAGTTAACGGTTTGATTATTATTTTATTTTTTAAAGTTTTGACTATTTTGTTGGGTTAATATATTTGTATATCCCGAACTTTTCACAAATTAAAAATCCTGACCAATCTTTTTGATCTATAATTTTGTGGCCTCAACTATGCATCAAAGTTACGAAATTGGCCAAACCCGAAATTTGACCATTATCTTGGATGGTCAAACGATTTGACCAACGATCAACGCACCATGTCATTGCCAAGTCAACATAGATTACTTAAAAAAAAAATTCTTTTTCCACATACTACCATTTACAATTTTTGGGAACCAACATTTTTAAATTTATTTTCCCTTTTTATTCTTCTTTTGTTCAAAATAAAAAATATAAATGGTAATAGGTGAAAAAAACAATTTTTAAGTAGTTTGTGCTGATATGGCAGTGACCTGGGGCGTTGGCCATTAGTCAACACGTTTGACCATACAAGATAACGGTCAAATCTCAGGTTTGACAAATTTCGTAACTTCGATGCATAATTGAGGCCACGAAATTATAAATCGAAAAAATTGATCTGAATGTTTAATTTGTGAAAAGCTTTGACCATACAAATAAATTAACCCAATTTTGTTTAAAATCAAAGATTTAGCTAATATATTGTATTTATCCCGTGAGAGACTAGTCCTTAACCATGACCTTGAGTCCCATCACTGCCATGCGAACTGTTGTACCTGCTTCTTTGAATTGCGTCTGATAAGTGTGTGAGTTGTTAGTAAGTGATGTTTGTGGGTAGTCGTTGGTGCAGCTGTTATTGGTGGTTGGGAGCTTTGAATTTCTTCATGCAACTCCAATCGATAAATCGATAGACAAGGGTTCAGCAAGTTTTGGACGCACCAAAACCAAATAAAAAACTCACCAACTACACGTTTGAGAATTAGGGAAATTGTTCTCTATTCAAGTTGCTTTGTACCATACACGAAGGAACCCTTTTATATAGGGTTGGCTATTTGGTTCGGGCTATTTGGTTTTATCCGAAATCGGATCGTATAACTCGAACCGGGACCGGATAGCAAACAATCTAATTCAATTTTCGGGCTTAGATTTGAGGTAAAAAAAACCCGTTTGGGACCGGATAAAAAACCGGATAAAGACCAGATAAGATAGCCCAACACCCAACACTTAACCAACTCCTCGCTATTTGAGTCCTCAAGCAACTCAAATCCCCACAAGTTCAATCTAAAATCAAGACCGAATTGGGACCGGATCGGGTCAAGACCGGACTGTATCCAATCCAATCTTTGGTAATTATATTCCAGAAAAGACCGGATTGGGACCGGATCAATTTGAGCCAATTTAACCAGACCGGACCGTATAGCCACCCCTACTTTTATAGGCATAAACAAACTAAAACACAACTTGAAATAAACCTAATTTAACAAGAAAACTAATTCTACACTTAATCCTTGTGAGACTCGGATTACTTATGGAACTCGGATTGGTGGCCTGCTTTTCATCGCAACTTGGACGCCTGGAAAGTGGTCCAATTGATCTTCAAATTCTCAGCCAATTCCTTTGGGTTGTAGTATGAAACTCAAACTTTCATGTGGTATCTCTCTCTGGCCTTGACTCTCCTCCATTTGGCTTGAATGAAGCTTTCAAGTTGCCTTCCCAATCACGGTTCCTGTCTTAGCCAAAATTTTAAACTTTTTCGTAAAATTCGACTTGGCATTTTTGACGATCAATACTGGATGAAAAAGGATGGATTGCAGGATTGTATCATCGCACTTGCGTGGTTACTTTGGTAGGATCGTGATCTTAGGTTTCATTTTATGGCTTCATTTAGACATGCCTAGCTTGTAGATAAAGCATGTGTGTTGTTTCCTAGTGCTTCTTAATTTGTTTCATCTCATCAGTATATGTGGTTTTGTAGTTTCCTAGTTCCTAGTATTTAACCTCTTTTGTGGCTTTGCTTTAGTACACAAGGTTAATGATAAAGTTAATAATAAAATAGCTTGATTTTCACATTTTAATATGCGTAGATATAGAATTCAACTGAATTTATTAATCATAATATAGAATTCAATTAGGATATTGTATGACAACTGATTTTCTTTTATTCTTTTGTTATTTGAGAATTGAAGAATTGTGAATTCAGCGACTTTAAAAAGAAAGATTTTTGGGGCTACCTTACTTGAATTTTCGATCAAGTTTTATATCAATAACATATTAATAACTCACGATTAACTTCAAGAATGAAATATTTGTTATGCTTAATTTTTTTAGTTTGATTTATATCTGTCTTAATTATAACTTTTTTAAGTAGTTTTTTCTTCACAAATTAGCACGAAGCTAATGCCTTTTTTTTCGATCGTAAATACTGTGTTATTAATTCCTCTCTTCTTTTTTTCTATCAGCCTTTGTTTAGCTGTTGTAAGTTTTATAGGTTCGATACATGTTTCTCTTGTTGTTTTGAGTAGATTTTTGCTGGTTTGACTCAGTGGGCAGGGGTGTTGCCACATAGTGATTGGTATCACGGTTTAGTACCTATACTTTTTATATTCACACTTTGGTACTTAAAATTTATTTTTTTATACTAAAAATATCATTATAAAATTACGGTTTGGTACCTAAAATTTTCATATGACATTTTAGTACCTAAATTTTTTGAAATTTACATAACAATACAAGGCTTGAATGTCATTTGGATTAATGGATCAATCCACCAATCCATTGGATCCAATCCACTTGATTCATGGATCCACCAATCTATGAATTCAATTCATTTGCCACGTTTGCCACTCGAATTGATTTATTCCATTCATAGTCACTCGAATTAGTTGAACAGTCCAAGTTCGGTCACTCTCCGTTAACCTCCGTTAGACTCCGTTAATGGCGACCGTTAAGTGATGACGTGGCTAACAGAAAATCACAGTCAGCATATTTTAACACTAAAAAATGACGAACCGACCCGCCACGTCATATTTACCCGCCCAGTCAGTCATTCTTGCCCAACCTGCGAACCAACCCAATTAATTGACCCAAACCCAGACCCGAACCAACACAATGGCTGCTTTCCTCTCGACCTCGTTCACGCTTCCGCCACCGACAACCGCCGCCGCAGACGTTTGATATAATAGTTTTCCAGTCGATTCCCCTTGCCCTAATTTGGTATGCGGGTCAATTCCCCATAGCTCTCTCTCGTCTCCTCCCCATCCCTCACAAGGGTAGCCGTGTGATAGATTTGGGGCGAGCTGGATCGGGGGGATCCGTTGCACAGCGCCGTCGTGAGAGCGGAGGATTGGAGCGGAGTGCCGGGATTGGAGGAGTGGAAATCGGAGACGAAACGGCGGCATCGAGGGCGGAGCCGCAATTGATGAGATGGTTGTCGACGGGGGAGAAAGGTGAGAAAGAGAAGGCAGAGAAGAAGGTGATGAGATGGGATGGTTAGCCTCTGCCCGATCTCCGGCTCCCTCATGTCCGATCCGGTCGTCGTCTCCTCCGGCCACACCTTCGAGCGCCTCTCCGTCCAGGTCTGCCTCGACCTCGCCTTCCTCCCCATCCTCGACGACTCCTCCCTCCCCAATTTCGCCGCCGTCATCCCCAATTCCGCCTTCAAGAGGACGATTCACAACTGGTGCGACGCCGCCGGCCTCCCGCACCCTCCGCCGCCGGACTACGCCTCCCTCTAGAAGATCGTGCGGGGTAAGATGAACGACTCGCCGTCGTCGTCGATTTCGAACGGGAATCCCGATCTTAGGGTTTCAGAGAGGGAGCTGCTCAAGGCCGTGGCGGAGAACCCTCCGATTTTATTCTCCCACTCAATCTTGCCGGCTCTCTCTATCTCGGGATATCGCCGTAGATCTGGGATTATGATTTGGTGGCAGTAATGGCGATTCGGGTCGGAGCTGGGGAAGAAGAGGGGGAAGGAGAGGGGGAACAGGTGAATGGGTTGGTTTAGGGGTTCGGTTCGGGTCAGGGGTTGATTGGGTTTGGGTGGACTTTTAAAATATTGAGGGGTTAATGATGTTGCATGTTTTTTTTTTTGTTAAAATAGGATGACTAAGCACTTCTGTTAGCCACGTCAGCAGTTAACTGACGGTACTAACGGAGTTTGACGGAGGTTAACGGAGAGTGACTAAAGTTGGACTGTTCAACTAATTTAAGTGACTACGAATGAAATAAATCAATTCGAGTGACCAAACATGAAATTTTGTAGCAATTCGAGTGACCAAACTTGCAATTAAGCCTTTTCTCTTTCTTTTGTGTCACTTTTACATCACTATAGTCTGTTTTTATATTGGAAAAGATGTTTTCAGTGACTTAATATACAGATAAAGATCAGAGAAGATGAAGTGAATGAAGAAGTGGGCATGTATAGTAGTAATGTGCACTCTCCCTTTGGTTTTATTGAATATTGAAAATTACAGGCAAATACACAAACATCTTACAATCAAATAAATAACAAACCATACGCAACATAAATCGTGTAGGAAACTAGGAATAATATCGGATCTACTTAATTGGCTTCACATGAATTAGCCATCGGATCCTAAATGGTCTCTCAACAATAATAAAGGAAACAATTGAAGGAAAACCTTCACAAACACGAACAGGTAGCATGCATAAAGGAGAGAACACACATGTGACATCTATATCGTAAACGGATGGGCACAAAGGACGAGCCGTAAGGCGTTAGTTACTACCTCCGGTTGAAATTAACAACACCATCCGTTTCAATTTTGCCGCCGCTTCAAGCCTTTTTAGCCTTGCCGAATAAGCCCGGGGAGGACAATGCCAACATCGTCACCACCGGTCGAACCAGCAGCTCCGGTCTTGCCGAATATTTCCCATGCAAACAGACTGCCGTTATCTTCGGTCGAACCAGCAGCTCCGGTCTTGCCGAATATTTCCCATGCAAACAGGCTGCCGTCATCACCGGTCGAACCAGCAGCTCCGGTCTTCCCGAATATTTCCCATGCAAACAGGCTGCCCTCATCTCCGGTCGAACCAGCAGCTCCGGTCTTGCCGAATATTTCCCATGCAAACAGGCTGCCGTCATCTCCGGTCGAACCAGCAGCTCCGGACTTGCCGAATATTTCCCATGCAAACAGGCTGCCGTCATCTCCGGTCGAACCACCAGCAGCTCCGGTCTTGCCGAATATTTCCCATGCAAACAGGCTGCCGTCATCTCCGGTCGAACCAACAGCTCCGGTCTTGCCGAATATTTCCCATGCAAACAGGCTGCCGTCATCTCCGGACGAACCAGCAGCTCCGGTCTTGCCGAATATTTCCCATGCAAACAGGCTGCCGTCATCTCCGGTCGAACCACCAGCTCCGGTCTTGCCGAATATTTCCCATGCAAACAGGCTGCCGTCATCTCCGGTCGAACCAGCAGCTCCAGCGTTGCCGACGTGGATGATGTGATCTGTGGTCGAACGAGTAGCTCCAGCCGCCTTGCTGAATACGTCCCATGGAATCAGACTGCCGTCACCTCCGGTCGAACCAGCAGCTCCAGCCTTGCCGACGGTTCGTCCTCCGAAATGGATGCTGCGATCTGTGGTCGAACCGGTTATTGCTCCAGCCTTCTTGATCGTCATCGCCATGGTTTGAGACGACGGTACGAATCTAGCTGCGGCGGATGGAGGAGATGAGTGCAGTAATGCGCCAGCAGCAGCAGCAGCACCGTTGGTGCTCATCGCAGCACTACAGATCGTCAAAGTGGAGGCAGCCATACCTTAATTATTAGAACTCACTCACTTGAATAAGAGATGATATTCGAAATCGAGTGTGGTTTGCTTCCAACCTAGCTAAAGGCAGTTTTTATACGCATAACTCCCAGCAATTAATTCAAAGCTCCCACTTCCCAACCATCAACGACTACCCACCAACATCACTTATTTGCACCTCTCACACAGTCACACTCATCAGATGTTCAGGACGATCCACCTACCTAGTCACTGACTAGATTTAATTCAGTAGGGTTTCCCTCCACAGACACCATTTCCATTTTCCAAAGTTGAATGTATTACATAAAAACAAAAAAACAAAAAAACTGCCTCCATCATTCAGAAAATATGTTGGAGGGACTTCAGCATCTTATTTGTCGAGATGAATCGATAATAAAGGTGACGGTTTTGTATCCAATTCATCAGCTTAAAAATATTTAATTATCCAATCCAATTAATTCAAATTCAATTGGAGCGATTCATTGATTTTTGGCAAATTACATATTAGTATCTGTACATTTTGATATCTAAAATTCATATCATGATATTTTAGCACCTGAAATCATTGATCGAGTTAACAAACCTATACGTGTTAGGATTTTGAATGGTGTAAATGATAATGAAAAACGAAAGCGCTAAGATAAACTCTTGCAGTACAAAGGGTTAAGATATGGGAAAGGCGTGTCCTCGAACTCGGTCAATTTGTAAATCTGTTGGTAATCGGTTAGAATGGTTTGTATAACCAACCCGAATCAAACCGAATGGAATCTGAACTAATGCGACCAACCATCCAACTACCATTGGCCGAATCAATGCAAAGTTGAGGAATTTTAAACGAACCATTGCAATGGTTGGGGTGTAACCACCCACCCGAAAAGTCCCTCCCTTCGTACGCACTCTTTCATTTTCTATAAATAACACCAAACTCCTTCTCATTTTATTGACGGAAAAAGAAAACAATTTTATGACCAAAACTGTGCCAAGATCAAAACTGATTTTTATGCATTCTTTCCAAACAAAAAAAAATCGAGTCAAGTGTGATTCTCGCCAATTCGCTGGGTTCTTGGTTTTCCAAGGTTTGAGGTTCCACTACGCCGTAAAAGGTAAAGGATTGACTATTATTTTTGGTTTTTGAAAGTTAACGGTTTGATTATTATTTTATTTTTGAAAGTTTTGACTATTATTTTGTTGGGTTAATATATTTGTATGGCCCGAACTTTTCACAAATTAAACATCCTTGCCAACATTTTTTATCTATAACTTTGTGGCCTCAACTATGCATCAAAGTTACGAAATTGGCCAAACCCGAAATTTGACCATTATCTTGGATGGTCAAACGATCAGCGCACCACGTCATTGCCAAGTCAACATAGGTTTATCCACATAGTACCATTTAAAATTTTTGGGACCCAACATTTTTAAATTTATTCCTTTTTTATTCTTCTTTTGTTCAAAATAAAAAATATAAATGGTAATAGGTGGAAAAAAAAATTTAAGTAGTTTGTGCTATGGCAGTGACCTGGGGAGTTGACCGTTAGTCAACGCGTTTTACTGTACAAGATAACGGTCAAATTTCAGGTTTGACAAATTTCGTAACTTCGATGCATAGTTGAGGCCACGAAATTATAGATCGAAAAAATTGGTCAGAATGTTTAATTTATGAAAAGCTCCGACCATACAAACAAATTAACCCAATTTTGTTTAAAATCAAAGATTTAGCTAATATATTGTATTTATTTTCTCATGTACATTCAACTTTGGGAAATTGTGTCGGTAGAGAGAAACCCGCCTGAATTATCTAGTGACAGACTAGTCCTTGAATTGCGTCTGATAAGTGTGTGAGTTGTGTTGAATGGTAATTTGCAATTAACCTACCACTAAACATCACCATCTTATCTCTGCTATCAACTCATGAGAAGGAGAGGCCAAATGATGATCCACGTTTAAAGGAGTTGAAGACAACCATATTAAAGCATGGGCCATTGAATTAAGATGGTGGATGAGCTATCTTTTCAGCTCACCCACAGCTCACTTATATCTATATGTTATGTGTTTATGTAATAATAAAGTAAAATGAATGACAATTGCATTTAGTGTGGTGGGAAATGTATAGTTCCCATCTTCTCTAATATAATGCCTGCGTGTATGTCATGGTTTGTCAGAAAGTGTGGGCATAAAATAAAAAGAAAGAGAAGCACACGTGTGTTGTGTGCCGTGTGGTGCATGTATGTTATTTTGAGTGATTAAAATTATACGCCAAAAGTTAAAGGCTATGATTATCATGAGTAAATTCTAAATTGAGTAATTAAACACAAATTTGTTTCCTTTCTTTTGATCCTAAATTACCACTCCTTCCGCTAATACCCAACAAGTTGTTAGTAAGTGATGTTTGTGGGTAGTCGTTGGTGCAGCTGTTATTGGTGGTTGGGAGCTTTGAATTTCTTCATGCAGCCACCACAACTCCAATCGATAGACAAGGGTTCAGCAAGTTTTGGACGCACCAAAACCAAATAAAAAACTCACCAAATACACGTTTGAGAATTAGGGGAAAAATTGTTCTCTATTCAATTTGCTTTGTACCATACACGAAGGAAGCCTTTTATATAGGGTTGGCTATTTGGTCCGGGTTATTTGGTTTTATTCGAAATCGGATCATATAACTCGGACCGGAACCGGATAGCAAATAATCCAATTCATTTTTCGGGCTTAGATTTGAGGATAAAAATCATTTGGGACCGGATAAAAAACCGGATAAAGACCGGATAAGATAGCCCAACACTCAAAACTTAACCAACTCCTCGCTATTTGAGTTCTCAGGCCACTCAAATCCCCACAAGTTCAATCTAAAATCAAGACCAAATTGGGACCAGAGCGGGTCAAGACCGGATTGTATCCAATCCAATCTTTGGTCCTTATAATCCCGAAAAGACCGGATTGGGACCAGATCGATTTGGGACAATTTAACCGGACCGGACCGTATAGCCACTCCTACTTTTATAGGCATAAACAAACTCAAACAAACTAAAACACAACTTGAAATAAACATAATTAACAAGAAAACCAATTCTACACTTAATCCTTGTGAGACTCTGATTCTTTATGGAACTCGGATTGTTGGTCTGCTTTTCATCGCAACTTGGACGTCTGGAAAGTGGTCCAATTGATCTTCAAATTTTCAGCCAATTCCTTTGGGTTGTAGTATGAAACTCAAACTTTCATGTGGTATCTCTCTCTGGCCTTGACTCTCCTCCATTTGGCTTGAATGAAGCTTTCAAGTTACCTTCCCAATCACGGTTCTGCCTTAGCCAAAATTTTAATCTTTTTCGTAAAATTCGACTTGGCATCTTTGACGATCAATACTTGGCATCTTGCGTGGTTACTTTGGTAGGATTCGTGATCTTAGGTTTCATTTATGGCTTCATTTAGACACGCCTAGCTTGTAGCTAACTGCTAAAGCATGTGTGTTGTTTCCTAGTGCTTCTTAATTTGTTTCACCTCATCACTATGTGGTTTTGTAGTTTCCTAGTTCCTAGTATTTAAACTCTTTTGTGGCTTTGCTTTAGTACACAAGGTTAATGATAAAGTTAAAAATAAATTAGCTTGGTTTTCATATTTTAATATGTGTAAATATAGAATTCAACTTAATTTATTGATCATAATATAGAATTCAATTAGGATATTGTATGAAAACTGAATTTCTTTTATTCTTTTTTTATTTGAGAATTGAAGAATTGTGAATTCAGTGATTTTAAAAAGAAAGATTTTTGGGGCTACCTTAGTTGAATTTTCGATCAAGTTTTATATCAATAACATATTAATAACTCACGATTATCTTCAAGAATAAAATATTTGTTATGCTTAATTTTTTTAGTTTGATTTATATTTGTCTTAATTATAACTTTTTTAGGTAGTTCTTTCTTCACAAATTAGCACGAAGCCAATGCCTTTTTTTGATCGTAAATACTGTGTCATTAATTCCTCTCTTATTTTTTCTATCAGCCTTTGTTTAGCTGCTGTAAGTTTTCAATAAGATTTTTACTATCTGAGAATAAGTAATGCTTTATTTAAAATCAGAAAAGAGCAAAATTAAAAATTCCAACAGTTGAATAGATTATATACGTCTTATAATAAAAGTCATCAACTTAAATATTGAAGGTCATTTCAAATTAAAAAATGAACACGTGAAAATGATATCACTTCGTTTTTTCTCATTCTAAACTCTTTTTCAGTTCACTAAACAAGACCATATTATCCCCCTCGAATATAGAATTGGAGGTAGGAAACATGTCTAGTTTGGTTATGATTATAAGAAGGAATAAAATATCTTTTTGGAAACATATCTAGTTTTTCTTTATTTTTTTCATTCTTAACATTTTTTTGATTCTCTATCTTTAATCTTTAACAGATAAAAAGAAAGGGAATAGATGCCAGTTCCGCCAACCATTGTCAAAATCGGCGACAGTGGGTAACAGATACCACTCCCACGAACAACGGTTAATCAGTGACGGTGTCAACAATAACGACATCGACTAACTTATTCAAAGATCTTAGTTGGAAACCTAAATGCATACCATTCCGACGCCGGCGCCACAACTTTAAATAGGAGAGTAGCTAATGGTGACAATTGCGGAGGTGGTAGCAACACTCGTAGGCCAAGTGATTTTCCAATTGTTGTTTGGTGTAGATGCAGTATTAGCATTTATTTGAGTGAAACTTATGACTCTCATGCTTTTCCCAGACGTGTGACTGAAGATTCTCAAGTTTGGAATTAGAGAATATTCAACCATCGAAGTTGCAGTCGAACAGGTGGTGGCCGAAGACGGGGACAAATTGCGGTTGTTGGCTGCTGTTTCTCCATCCCATCCAGCGATTTCCGTTCTCTTTGATCTTTTTTCCGCTCTTCTCCTGGATTTCCCTTTCTCTGTTTCATCGCTTTTCCCGCTTCTCCTTTCTTGGGTTGTTATTTCGACTTCGCTGGCTCTATACTTAACATTCATTGTTAAACACCAATTATATGAACGACGTCAGAGTTTTTATATTTGGACACAACCTTTTTCA